TCTTTTTTCTTTCTCTTCAATTCCTAGTTATTTGTACTTTCTGAGAAGATACCCCAACAAAATGAAAGTATAAAATGATCTCATATGAAACAAAGAGAACTCCATTAATGTGAATTTGAAACTCAAAGTCTCAAACTCAATTTATGTCCACAAGTTCATCAATTTTTTTTATTTAATATATGTTTTACGAATGGTTATGACCGAGAAGAGAGGGAGAATGGGGAGAAGAACATGGAAAGAAAATATAAAAATGTGTAGTTAGATGCATTTCTATTTCTTTGTGGCCACCTAAAATTTGTTTCCATAAAATAAAAAATAAAAAATTATGGCTGCAAGGTCTGTTATTGGGGGCATGAGTTTTTGCAAGTGGACCATGTAATTTTGCCTAGACAAATATACAGTGTTGATTATTTCTTATTCAATTAAAGGAAAAAAAAAACTGAAAAATGAAGTGCAAGTTAGAAAATGAAGTATGAAGAAAAAGAAATAATATAAAAGTGACATAAAAAGAAATTAATGTAGGATAAAGGTAAAATAGAAAAGAGATAGAACAAAAAAAATAAAATTGATTAAAAATTATTAAAAAAACAAAATGGAGAGTAAGTGAAGAAAAAGGGTGTGAGAAAATCAATTATCTTCTTTTATCGAATACATACAATAATGCCAGGGCACGAATTCCAAGCCTAGTATTAAAAGCCTCCTAGTTACTGTTATTAGTTGATACCGTACATATAATTGCACGAATATTTGTTGCCAAAAAACACAGAAAGGAATTCACTCTTATCGATAATTCTCTTCAAGAGGATGCTTTTGCATAGTTAGGGCCCGGGCCTAAATTAAAACCAGACTCTTCTTTGTTTGAGCTTCTCCAACGCACACAGCCCGGAAGATCTCAGTCGTAACCGGAAAAGTCGGAATTATGTCCAACTCCGAAATAGCTTTAGTTGTGGAGAACACGGAAGAGAAAGCCGCTGCACGGTTTGGTTTCTTCAACTTCAAACACTAGACTTATATCTGTGGTATCTGCTCAAAATAATACATTAATACATAGTAAAAATAAATTAATTGAAGCAAGTTTGTTTGTTGTCTTTTGTTTTCTCCAGTAATCGTGATTCAAACTCAGAGGCTACAGTGGAAATTTCAAGCATGAAAATTGAAGATGGACCACCCAAAGAGGAAAGTCATGATCCTCAGGAGTCTTTCCTTCAAAAGTGGAAGAAGATATTTTTAGCATCATGTCTGTTTGCTCTTCTGCTGGATCCATTGTTTCTCTACGTTCCTATGCTCAAGGATGATGTCAAGTGCCTGCAATCAGACAGAAACTTGGAGATAGCAGCTCTTCTTTTAAGATCATTCACTGATCTTTTCTATATATTTGACATTATTTTTCAAATCTATAGATCTGATTACTTTGCAGGTTTAATGAATGAATATCATATCTTTTGTTTGGAGCACTCCAACTACTCAAAAATAAAATTTTGTTGGAAGTATGTTGTGCCAACAATAGCTAAGACAATCTGGGGTCCATATCATATCTTAATTGATATTTTGGCTATTCTTCCGCTTCCTCAGGTAAGAGAAGGCCTTTGTTTTTTTGTTTTTTGTTTTTGGAAGGAAGAGAAAGCCTTTGTTATAAATGCATAATTTTCAATTTACCATGTGCTTGGCACGTGACATTTTTGACAGAAAATTAGATGGAGTTTTAAAATTCTACTGTAAGAGTAAATTGGCTATTTTCAAAAAATTGATGTCTTTAATTTACCGAAAAATCATTATCTTAGTTAATGATTCACTACTTTAGTCGTGATAATTAGATTTTAACTATTTGTATTATTAATGTATGTTGTCCAGGTAGCAATTCTCATTTTCTTTTCAGAAATGAGGGACTTAAGATCTTTGAACACAATAAGGATGGTTATTATGAACCTTTTTGTTTTGTTGCAATATGTGCCACGAATTCTTCGCATCTACTTATCATGTAAAGAACTTAAAAGGACTCCAAAAAAAGAGACTGGAGAGACTACCAAATGGGTTAAAGGTGTCTTGAATTTCTTTATGTACATCATCGCTAGTCATGTAAGTTTCAATATTTTGACGTAGTTTATTTTAATTTCTTAATAACACTTGCTTGCTTGATTTAGATAAATAAAATGCTTACGTGGTATTTTTTTGGTTGGATTCCTTTGCTAAAAGTCTTAAATCAATATTAATCAACCTTTATGAAGGGTAAATATAATTAACAATGGGGCAATAAAGTAGGCACATACTACATATTCTTGACTTATATTTTGCAAAAACAAGAATATTTCATAAAATTAAGTTCTTTCAAGTTAGTGTATGTTTTCTTCCTTTCTTTTTGTTACAGGGGAGGATTCAAACTCTAGTCTTAGGCGTAAATATTATCTACCACTATGGCGTAGAAACCTTTCCAATTCTTAGTCTATGTTTAAAGATGAAGATAAGTTGAGCAAGTAAGGATCACATGTTAGTCGTGAGAATCTAATGTTGTGACGCTAATTTGACAACATTTATTCATTATTTTTTGATTATTTTTTTTTAACTTGTAAACGTTATTTAATTTCGTTGCTCGAGTTTAATTTTTTTTCTTTATATTTTGTAATTCTAATTAATTAACTTGATATTCTTTAGATATTTGGTGCCATATGGTACTTTTTGGCTATTCAAAGAATGGCCACTTGTTGGCATGACGCATGTCGAAAAGCAAATGGATGTAACACTAGTAACTTTGGATGTCATGACCATCACACATTCAGAAATATAACATTTCTAAATGATTTGTGCCCTATAAGTCTGGTGAATACAACGCTCTTCGATTTTGGTATATATATTGCAATCCTTCAATCTGGTATACCGGGGTCAACAAATTATTTTGTGAAGTTCTCCAAGTGCTTTTGGTGGGGCCTGCAAAATTTGAGGTTTGTATATTTTTATGTGTTGTTCGTTTGGTCGGAGATTGATTTGCTTATTTTTATGTGTTGTTTGTTTGGTCGGAGATTGATTTGGCAAATGACTATTTGCTTTAGAGGCATTTAGTCTCCGCTTACTTTATCGGAGAATGTTCTTGAATTTAAATCTCAAAGATGATAAAATTTGTTGAATGAAAAGCAAAATTTCAATTTTGTATTCAATATATATATATATATATATTTCATAATGTCAATGTCTGCAGTTCTTTTGGTTCAAACCTTGAGCCTAGTATCAATGGATGGGAAACTCTCTTCGCGGCTTGTACTTCTATTATTGGCTTGCTTCTATTCTTATATCTCATTGGAAATTTGCAGGTTAGGCATACATGGAGTTCTTTGCGGCTAATTTTATTTTGATAACTAATTCCTAGCTAATGACTGAGCTGCTTGTTGTGGCATATATAGGCATACATGCAGTTTGATACCACAAGAATAGAGGCCCATAGACACAAGATGAAAGTGAAACGGAAGATGAAAGAGAAAGGTCAAGAGATAGAGCTGTGGTTATTTGGCATCCCCGAATGGTTGAAAAAGGATATTAAACCGCTGATCATGGACAAGGTTCGACAAGAACTTGAAGAAGACAGGGATGCTGATTTGAACTTTATCCTCTCTACTTTTCCCTCCGAGAATCAAATCCAAATTAAAAGTGCTATGCCTATCACTAGGTTGAAGCGAGTAAGTTCCTCCAAAGCTTTTCCATATATATTATATCGATACTTTAATTCTTCCGAATTAATTAATAGGAGATTCACTATTATACCCAATAGAGTTTAAATTATATAAAAAAAACCTACATGAAATCGACTTTAGAAACACACCCACAGCTCATTTAAAACATAACAGAGAGGCTTCAAACTTCCTATAAATTACAAAACTGTCATTGATTTATTAAAGACTTATTTACTGTAGTGCCCCCTGAAATTTCGGTCAAATCTCACTTTGGCCCCCTAAACTTAAAATGACCCACTTTCATCAATTGACCGAGATTTGGTGACCTTCTTTACCCCCTACCATCAACTCCATATAAAAGTCTGTTAACTTTAATGATGTGGCAAATGTATTTTTGTAATTTTGTACACATGAACATCATTCACCAATTAGGTGAGTGACGTGGCAGTGGAGCCCACCTTCTCAACATGGATAAAAATATAATTAAATATTCTAATAAATAAA